GGTCGATTTCTGGGGTCTCTGTTCCATTACATTGATCTATATGCCTATTCTTGTGCCAGTACCAGGCTGTTTTGAGTACAGTGACTTTATCGTATAACTTGATATCTGGTATTGTGATTCCTCCAACCTTGTTCTTCTTTCTCAAGACTGTTGCAGCTATTCAGGGTCTTTTTTGGTTCCATATAAATTTTTGGAGTGTCTGTTCTAGATCTGTGATATATGCCACTGGTATTTTAATGAGGATGTCACTGAAACTATAGATTGCTTTGGGTAGTATGGACATTTTAATGATGTTGATTCTACCACTCCATAAACACAGTATTTTCTTTCACTTGTTTATATCTTCCTCTATTTCTTTGTTCAACTTCCTGTAGTTTCTTAAACTTTTAATTTGTAATGATTTTAAATTTATAGAAAAGTTTCAAGAACTGTACAAAGAACTCCTGTAGAACCTTAACCTAGATTCATCAGTTGTTAACATTTGCCACATTTGCTTTAATATGTATGTTTTTTTCTTCCTGAATCACTTGAGAGTTAAGTATCATCCATCATATTTATTCACCCCTCTACACTTACATGATTATTTTCTAAGAAATTAACCACAGAATAATTATCAAAATCTGCAAATTTAGCATTGATATAATCTATAATCCAAAATCAATTTCACTGTGTCCCAGTATCCTCAATGACTTTTTTTCCAGTGCCACATTGAATTTAGCTATTTGAATTTTTTATAAGTATATAACATATTCATTTTTTAAAAGGGACCCAGAACTACTTATATTGAGCAAATAAAACAAAATGGGGTGACACTTAATACAGATAGCATATTTTCAAAGTGTGGTCTGCCTGGAGCCCTTGGGGTTAAGCCTTTGGTTTTATGTCTCTTGATGCATCCAGGGCAGCTGTGAAGTCCTGCGGCTATTAGACCTAGCGGCTTCGCCTTTCTACCACAAGTGGATTTGGCAGCATCTGGAGCTGATAGATGACAGAGCTCTGAAGACCAACCTCAAAGGTAAGCCTCTGTTCACATCTGGCCGTCAGCAGCCCAGCAGGGGCACCTGGCCCCATCCTGTTTCCAGTTCCCAGCCCGTAGAGTTTTAGAAATCTAGAGCTACAAGGGCCTGGCGGGATATCTGGTTTGACTCCTTCTTCTACCAGCTGTGAAAACCTAGTCTACACTGCCTGGCCAGGTTAGACTCCGGCCTATCTCTCCCACTCCTCCTTTTCATTCTTTCCTCTTAGCAGGGAGGGAGAGCTTGGAGTTAGACCGGTTTGAATCCCACTGATTAGCTGGGTGACTTTGGTGAGTACTTAAGCCTCTGGGCCTGGTTTCTTTGTGTGTCATGGTAGTGTTGTGGTTAAGAGCATAAGCTCAGGAGACAAACTGCTTGTGTTTGAATCCAGGGTCTGTCTCTTACTAGGTGTGTGATTCTAGAAAAATTACTCTGTATCTCTGTGTATCCATTCCCTCAGTCTATAAAATGTGAATCTTTTTTTTTCAGATATCTATAAAATATCTATTTATTGAAAGCTTATTAAAGTATGGGGATTTTAAAAGGAAATGTACAAAATGTTAATTATAGTTATCATGTAGAAGAATTACAGCTCATTTATTCTTTTTTTAATTAAATCTTTATTGTTCAGATTTTAACAGTTGCTCCTCTTTTT